AGCAAAGGGGATGGGGGAGGGGGAGAGGTAAGGGAATGAATGAGCGACTGAGAGTGTGCCTGTTAGTTGGCTTCCAGCATCAGAGAGGGCATGAAAGGAAAGCAGGCAGGCTGCTGTTGCCTTTCATTGGGGCGCATGGAGCGAAACGGGACTCCTCTTGCCATCTCTTCCCTTCCCCCCCCCTCAACAGGCATGGCAGGGCTTCCTGTCCTTCGTTTAGCCACCCACCCCCTTTATCAAGGGGAGTGGCATGTGGGGAGGGGTGGGGTGGGGGTGAAAGGATATTCCCAACTCCCGGACTGACTGACTTCTTGCCAGTAGCATCTTCTCTGCCTTTCAGCGTCATCCATCAAAAATGAGGATTTTCTGGGCAGAAAAGCTTGCCCACCCACCACCCCAGTGCCCTTGCTTCCTCCAAGCTTTCTTTGCTTACTGGTACTTGATTTCCAGCTCTGTCAAGTTTCTGGGGAAGGTTGTTGAGAAGGTGGTGGCCTTCCAGCTCCAGCGGTCCTTGGAGGAAGCAAACTATCTAGACCCCTTCCAGTCAGGCTTCAGACCCGGTTACAGCACAGAAACCGCTTTGGTCGCATTGACCGATGATCTCTGGAGGGCCAGAGATGGAGGACATTCCTCCATCCTGGTTCTCCTCGACCTCTCAGCGGCTTTCGATACCATCGACCATGGTATCCTTCTGCGACGACTGCGGGAGGTGGGAGTGGGAGGCGCCGTGTTGCGGTGGTTCTCCTCCTACCTCTCGGACAGGTCGCAGTCGGTGTTAGTGGGGGGGCAGAGATCGTCCCCTAGGCCCCTAACTTATGGGGTGCCTCAGGGCTCGGTCTTATCCCCCCTACTATTCAACATCTACATGAAACCGCTGGGTGAGATCATTCGCAGGCACGGGATTAGATACCATCAATATGCGGACGATACTCAACTGTATCTGTCCGCCCCGTGCCAACTCAATGAAGCGGCAGACGTGATGAACCGCGGCCTCGAAGCTGTTATGGACTGGATGAGGGTTAACAAGCTCGTGCTCAACCCAGAAAAGACCGAGTGGCTGTTGTGTTTCCCTCCCAGAGATTCGACCAACATTCCATCACTCAGGCTGGGGGGTCAAATTCTATACCCCTCAGAGAGGGTTCGCAACTTGGGAGTCCTCCTGGACTCACAGCTATCGTTTGACCACCATTTAATGGCTGTGACCAGGGGAGCATTCGCCCAGGTTCGCCTGGTGCGCCAGTTGCGACCCTACCTGAATCGGGAGGCTCTCACAACAGTCACCCGGGCCCTTGTGACCTCTAGGCTGGAATACTGCAACGTGCTCTACATGGGGCTGCCCTTGAAGAGCATCCGGCGACTTCAGCTAGTACAGAATGCAGCCGCGCGAGTGATTGTGGGTGCACCTCGGTTCACCCGCATAACACCTATCCTCCGCGAGCTGCGCTGGCTACCTGTCGATCTCCGGATGCGCTTCAAGGTGCTATTAGTCACCCATAAAGCCCTACATGGCAGTGGATCTGGATACTTGAGAGACCGCCTTCTGCCAATTACATCCCTGCGACCAATAAGATCACATAGATTAGGCCTCCTCCGTATACCATCGGCCAGCCAGTGTCGGCTGGCAACTACAAGGAGGAGGGCCTTCTCAGTAGTAGCCCCGACCCTTTGGAACGAGCTCCCCGTAGAGATTCGCACCCTCGCCACCGTCCAGGCCTTCCGCACAGCCTTGAAGAACTGGCTCGCCCGTCAGGCCTGGGGACAAGGATAGTTCCCCTCCCGAATGATGAATGTATGTTGTTTACTATTTTATTATATGTCTCATCTTAATGTCTGTATTCCCCTTCCCCGATTTTATGTGAGCCGCCCTGAGTCCCCTCAGGGAAAAGGGCGGCCTACAAATATTAATAAAATCTAAAATCTAAAAAATCCCCATTGTATGCAGGGAAACAAACTTGTGTGCCATAAAAAAAAACTTATCGCAAGAAGTTGGAATTAATTGATTGAACTGGATATGATTCCTATTCATATTCTTATTGTACTCCTACTCCTACTGTATTATATTCTCAATAAGAACAATCCAAGAACAAGAAACAAAATCTATGAAGAAAGATTGAGGGAGATGGGTATGTTTAGCATTAAGCATTTTTAAATACCAAATAAAAGTCATATACAATAACTTATTTTCGAATACAGAATACGGAATAGTTGATAAAGGAGAATATTTGTATCTCAGTGTTGAAATGAGGAGTCATTGGTGCTCTCTGAGCTTGGTTGTTTTTTGGTGACGTTTCATTACTCAAATTAAATAACATCATCATTATTAACCGGCAGTAGGATTTGCTCTCAATTTATATTCAAGTGGCTTGCCCTGTCTATTGGTGGGAGACAGCTTAGTGGTTCTTTGGTTGGCCTGTTTACTGTTAGCTAGTTTGGCAATTTCTTGACAGGGGTATTATTTACTTAGACTTGATGTTAATTTTGTTGTTAATCTAGGTATTAACTTCTGAAGAGGAGGTGTTTTGGTCTTTTTGTTTACTTTCTTGCTTGTTGATTACCTCTTTTGCACAATATGTAGATGTTTTTCAGGTCTATGTGCCTTTTGATTTGATATTAATATTGATTTGCTATTGATACAATTTTTGGAGTAAGTTTAGTTTAGGATGGTCACAGTTTCCCCATTAAATTATGGTTAAGTCTGCCCATATGCTCATGGGCCCCATCAATGGACATTCCTTGACTGATGGGGTCTGCAGTATGCTCCCTCTGCCGGCAAGTTTGGAGTGGGCCAATCCCATTATGGTAAGATGTTCCTCCAGAGAGCCTGGACCCATGCCATGAAGGGCTTTAAAGATGATAACCAATAACTTGAATTGCACATAAGTAATCCAACAATTATGTAATATGGGCACCCTAGAAGCCTCAACAACAGCCCGTGCTACCACATTTTGCACCAGTTGTAGCTTCCAATTACACTTCTAGGCCCATATAGAGTAAATTGCGATAGTCTGGGCATGAAATGACCAAGGCTTGAGTAACTAAGCACAAGTACTCCCAATCCAAGAAAAGTTGTAACTTACGCACAGCACTGAGTTGTGCAAATGCTCTCCTAGCCATGACTTCTGCCTGCTTTTAAAGCAGGAATCACAAGTCCAGGAGAACCCTCAAGTTGTGCATCAGGTTTATTTGGGGTTGTATAAACCCATTAGATATGTCAAACCTCTGGATCTCAACAATCCTAGCACCCAAAGTAATTTGGCCTTGCCAGGGTTCAATCAAAGTATGTTGTCCCCCATCCAGACTCTCAGGGCGCCAGCAACACAAAAGGGCAGCAATAGCATCACTTGGGACACCATGGGTAGAAATATAGAGTTGGTGACAAATGATCTCACCCAGTGGTTTCATATAATGTTAAAAGAGTGGAAAGAATACTGAGCTCTGCAACATGTCATAAAGGAGTTGCCCTGGATGTCTCACTTCCTAACCAGTTGGAACCAGCTTTGGAGAAAGAAACCAAACCATTGCAGGACTGTGCTGTCTAGCCCCAAACCCTACAGACAGCCCAAAAGGATACCCGATTGATGGTATTGAAGCTGCTGAACACATCCAGGACAAAAAGTATAGTTGCAGACAGACCGATCTTTCTCTCGCCAAACATCATCAGCAAGTGTGACCAATGTTGTTTCTATCCCATAACCAGGCCTAGATCTTGACTGGAAAGGGTCCAGATAATCAGCTTCATCTAGACCCTATGAAACTGCCAAGCAACCTACCTTCTCTACCACCTTCCCTAGGAAAGAAAGGTTAGAAACTGGATGAAAACTGTCCAGGTAGGTGAGTTCAAGAGATGGATTTTTTAGGAGGCAGCAAACCCAGGGCTACTTTTAAAAAGCCCTGAGAAACTCTCCTTCAGCAGTGAGGAATTAATAACTACTGAACCCACCTGGTAGTCACTATCCTGAAAGCTTTCACCAATCAAAACTGACAAGGAACCAATTGACAGGTGATTGCACAGACAGCAGAGAGGACCCTGCCCATTTCATCAGGTCTAGCAAGATTGAACTATTCTTAGATAACTGGGTAAGACTGTTCTTCGGGCATCTCATATGGACCAACACCATTGACAGGTTTCAGCTGGGAGTGAATCCAAATGACTTTATATGTCCAGAATCCTTTCCAAGGCCACTGTAACTCCAAACAATTGTTATGTGACCAGTTGTAAGTCAACGACTACCTATACACTTTAAAAATACTTTGTTCCAGGTGTTTAAAAAATGAGCCCTAATTATTAATTACAGCTACCATAATTGGATGAAATTTATGTCATAACAGTTTAACACTTATCTGAAGAGGAGGCCATAGCCTTATTTTAGTTTTCAAAAAATTTACAACTGAAAACTTTTCACATACCAGTAAAATAAACCTGATTATATATTACTTTTTGGTAAATAACAAAAAAAGAAACAACTTCCAATTTATTTAGATATTTATCAATATGCTTGATCAATTTAATACCAAATAGAAAGCTATAATTTACAATACTAGGAGAGAGGAGAACTGCTGGAATCACACTGACCTTCTCAATAACAAAACCAATGACCAAAGATGTTTGACTTTTGTAAGAAACAAAATATATAATTATATAAATGACAAGCTGACATTCTGCTCTCAACTAGCATTTCTAATAACCTTCATTTGCTCATAACAGTGCTAAGTACAATTATTACTAATAACGTTGAAAATATTACAAAATGCATTTTATTTATTTTGGAAATCTATTTAAATAAAATATTTCAGATTATGCTGAAATATTAACTAAGCAAAAATTACTTCATGCTACAAATTATAATATATTATTATTAGATGTTTTTCTAATTTACTTGTTTTAATAAAAAAGCGAAGTGCAAGAGTTCATAGAAGTATTTTTATAAATTCTAAAATATTTTTAAAAAATTTAAATAACAATGTTATATAAAGAAAAGAAAGTCATAATTTAATTATACCTTATTATAACGATCATGAGGAACAGACTGCAACACGATAGGTTCCATTGTAGAAACATTTGCAAACTGCACCTCGGGAATGTACAGAGCACAAACCACATGAGCCCAACCTATAAAAAGTTAATTTAATTTTATTCTTAACATTTTTGATAATATAAATAGAATAAATTCATATCAAGAAGCTTCCATATGATTTTCATGTAATTTTAATTATTTAATATTTATTCTTTAGGATATACATAACATATACAGAAAAGATAAGATCATAAGATTCTTCACAGAGCTACAAGCCTAACTTTTAAACAATGAAAATGATGATTACACAACAAAAACTATGGTCTCATATTTTGTTAAGTTTTGTATTAATTATCATTAAAATCAATGAGCTTATGTTTTATTTATATATTGCAGAACCTGGACCATCTATCATAATAAGGAAACACAAAGGCCTTTTAAAATAAAAACCTATTTCCATACCGGCCTTTCTATAAAAGACATTACTACATTCCTAGAGGTTTATTTAGCATAGTATTTCATGCCAAAAATTAAGAGATGTTTTAGTGCTATTTCAATAATATGCAGAATTACATAGACAAATAGAATTAATTTGTAGGTTACTTGATATAGGCACACAGGTACATATCTGCATTATTTCATATCTCCTGCAGTTCCTGAGAAAGTCACAAATTTGTGCTAGAACAAGAAAAAGTGTAAAAATCTGGCATTGTCTCTTTGTATCCGTATCTTAGTCTACAACTTTGCTAATTTATAAATTCTCCTATATTATGTCCTGGATTGCTTCATGTGAGAAATTTCCCTAGCAGTTTGATGTAATAAATTCCTAAAATAAAAGATAACAGAATTGTGGGAATTTCAAAAAGCAAGAGCATTATTTCACAAAAAATAAAGTTCAACTCCTACTAAATATATATTCTAATATTTCCCTGAATAGAAAATATCACATATTAGAAGAACATAACAAGTATGATGGAATGATGGAAACAACTTTACACATTCTCTATTCTAAGTGCTTCCTTCATCTACCATGCTTTGCTGCTACATCCACTCTTATTTTATTTCTATTCCAGCTCTGCTTTTATAGATTTGTCTCCTTCAAATTATCCCTTTTAGTAAAAAAATCCTTGAATTCCAGTTTTGCTAATTCATGCTAATTACTCCAAATCTAAGTCTTACTTCTATAATGAAATTCTAGAAAATGTTCATTTTCATTTTTTCAAAAGATAGAATGCTTAAAGACCAATGACCGTGACTTATATAAAATTAACAGATGAATTACTATAAATTGTTAACAATTATGGAGATAATTTAAGATATAAAACAAAGATCACTAGTCATACAATCAACATTTCTACCAAACAGCTGGGATACGCTCATTTTATTAGGCACCTTACTATTTAACAGTACTTGTATTTTGGAATTATATAAATGCAAGATAATATTCTCATAAGCGAATTAAATAAGAAATTGATGTCATATGTTTGGTTTTTATCTTCTTTAAGAGCTTTTGTAAGAAATCTAATCTGAACTGAATTATAATGATAATGCTTTGCCACTGCATGACCTCATGCAGATAAGGTTATCCAGTGATTGCTGTTTGCTTTGTGACATTATACTATCATGATATTCCCTTTTTAATAAGCAATATTTTATGAAAAGCTGCATTTTATTCCAATGTAAAAAAATAAACAAAAGCCACCCACAAGTATATTACTTCTTTTTGAGCTTCCTTGACTTATCCATTTTTTTCTGAAGAAATCGATCAATACCTTCTTTGAAGAGAACTTGATACGTGAAATTAGAATACTGCTTCTATAATATGCCACATCTCCAAAGATTCTAAATTTGCGTTATATTGCATTCAATTATCTTTAACGAAGACGCCCTTGTAATACAAAAGAAAACCCCAGCTATTTCAATGAACCTGTACTGTAAATAAGGTCCACTTTTGACCTATTATTCAGATAAGAGCTACTTTTAGGTGCAGTTTCTGTTATGTTTACATGCAATCAATCCCAGATTTTAAAAAATGAGAATCCCCCCCCCGTCTCTCTCTAGAAAAACAGTATCTGTCCCTTACAGTTGGTATACCTATAGAAACTTAATAGTTTCTTCAAAATTTCAGCTACTTTAAACTATAAACTTCTCAGTTGGAAATTCCCAAACCTGTTTTCATTAAATTCAAAGTCTTCAAAATCTTATTTCTCTGCTCATATCTGTTTTATCTATTGTAAAACTGCCCTTTCTATAGTACTAATTTAAAAAATTTAAATTTCTAATTTAAGAAATTGTACTACACTAAATGAAAAAAATGCTTACATTATTTCTGTATCTATAACATCCAACTGTAGATTATGCATTGGTTGCTAATCCTTTAAATTTTTGATATTTCTGCAAAACTATAACCTACAAGGTGATCTTTTCTCCAAATGTTCTAAAACTAGATAAACAAGTCATTTTTTAAAAAATGAGTTAAAAACATAGTTATTCAGTAATTTATTGAGGAAAATGATCAGCTATATATTTTGAGTGATAAAAGTATGAGAATCTTTGCTTTCAGGACTGATATGCAGCAATAACTGCAACTAAACATATCCACTAATTGTGATTAGTTGTACACATCATCTTGGAGGAATTATAGCCCATTCCTCCTTATAGAACAGCTTCAATTCAGGGATGTTAGTAGGCTTGCTTGAACTGCCCTCTTCAGGCCCCTCCACAATATTTCTATATGGTTAAGGTCAGGATTTTGACATGGCCATTCCAAAACATTAAATTTCTTCTGCTTCCTTGGCTGTACAACCTGTTTTGCAGATTCGTCTTGCTGCATTCCTTTGAGCTTCAGTTCATGGACAACTGACATTCTCCTATAGAAATTGCTAGTACAATTCAGAATTCATAGTTCCATCAATGTTGTCAGGTCATCCTGGCCCAGAGCCAGGCATAAATCATTACTGCCACCAGAATATTTCATAAATAGGATAAAGTTCTGATACTAGAATGCAGTGGTTTCCCTTTCAGCCATATATAACATTTTTAATTCAAGCCCCCACAAAAATCTATTTCAATGTCATACATCACAGAAAATTCTTCCAATGGCCTTCTGGCTTACGCATGTGGTCTTTTACAAACTATAGACGGGAAGCAATTTTCTTTTTGGAGAATAGCGACAGAATTTTGGAGAAATTTTCTTTCTTGCAACCTTGCAAGAAACATATCACTATTGTTCAGTTTCTCCCAAAGGTTCTGTCATGAACAGTAATATTCACCACTGCAATAAAGGCCTTTAGTTCCTTAGACATTAGCCTAGACCTCTCTGAGACTGCCTAGAGTAATAAACACCTTGTTCTTGGTATGATGTTGATGTTGATCATTCCTGAAGAGGTGGTGGTGCTGAATTATCTCCATTTGTACACAATCTTCTGAGAGTGGACTGGTAGAATACAAAACTTTATTTGTAAACTTTTCCAGCTTGGTGAGCATCAAAACTGCTTGTCATAGATTCTTGGAAACCTCCAAACACATGTTATAAGCATTAGACTTCTATACCCAGAATTCTATTCTTTAAATAAGGCAGGACTTCACTCACTCACACCTGATTACGAATGCACACAAATATGTAGTTTGGGAATATATTCCTCAGTGAAAAAATATGATTTTTTACTCATTTGTGTTTTCTTCATTCAGTTTTAGGATTTTGAGAAGAGATTGCATTTCATATTTTATTACTGCAATATTTCTGCAGAAATTTATGCAATTCATTTCTGAATTTCTGGTAGGCCCTTTGGGCCTATTTTTTTGCCCTCCACAGGCTCTGGAGGCTTTCCTGAAACATGGGGAGGGCGAAAACAGCCTCTCCCTACCCTCCGAAAGGCCGAAAATCAGCTGACATAGGGCAATGCCTCGCCTGTCCTCAGATATTGCTCTGTATGCCACCTGTGGCACACGGGCCAAAGGTTCACCATCACAGGTCTATCATCTCCTGATTTATGACAGCACATGGCTGATATATTTCATATCATATATTTCAACCCAACAGTAAAAATAGACACTGCAGGCTTTGCAGAAACAGCAAGAGACATTAAAATGTCTCTTGCTGTTTGAGTCCGAGATCCCAGACTCTTCATTATAAAAATGCCTGAGAAGAAACCTCTGCACCATGAGCTCTACTTGCCTTGATTATTCCTTAAAATAATGAAATAACAGGGTTGGAAAGAACCTTGGAGGCCTTCTAGTCCAACTCCCTACTCAAGCAGGTAACCCTATACCATTTCAGATAAATCTCGTCTTCAAAACCTCCTAGTGGTGGAGCACGCATAATTTCTGAAAGCAAGTTGTTCTATTAATTAATTGTTCTAACTATCAGGAAATTTCTTAGTTCTAGACTGATTCGCTCTTTGATTAATTTCTATCTATTGTTTCTTGTCCTCCTTTAGGTGCTTAGAATATAAGAATAAGTTGACCCTCTCTTCTTTATGGCAGCCTCTTAGATACTGGAACACTGCTATCACATCATCCCTAGTCCTTCTTTTCATTAGGTTTGACATACCCAATTCCTTAACTGTTTTTCTTATGTTTTAGCCTCCAGTTGCCTAATTGTTTTGTTGTTCTTCTCTGCACTTCTTTTACAGTCTCTTTCTACAGTCGCAATATTCCAAGTGTCATCTTACAAGGTATTAAAAAGAGGTTAGTAAACCTCTTCATGTGATCTTGATTCTACCCCTCTGTTAATGCAGCCTAGGACAAATTCCTTTTCCTGGCAAAATTCCCCATGGATTTTAATGTAGATAACTAAACATTATAAAATCTTTAAAGTATTTTAAGGTAAACAAAAATACATAAAACCCATTATATGTTTATTATATACTTATAGACAAAAATAGTTTGTTTCAATATTTTTCAGAGACAAATAACCATTTAAGGATATTCTGTAGAAAAGTAGCAAGTAAGAAGTCATCAAAGAGCTGAAAAGGGGGCTTCTAATCATTTGGAGGTAGGTGGCAAAGTGCAAGTAATCAAAATTTATGCTTCTTTACCTATATGACTTTACACATGTGACTTCCAAGTCATTTTCAATGGATACAATCCAATT